TAATTCCGCAATAAATCTCATCATCTTCAAAGTGTATCCGAAATTTTATAACATACTGATACAATGAAAATTTGGTGACCAGAATAAGTGTTACTATGATACTGTTTGTCACAAAATATCATCAACATCTGGTGACGATCACTGTTACTGGACAAGGTCAATCTGAAAGTTATCTATTTTACACTATGAGTAAAACTACTGCTATATATTAACTATCGATTGCTAGCACATCAAACATAAAAATGTTTTCGGCAAATAGTCAAAATAGAGATCAAAAATACTTCACGCGATTGGTGCGTCTATCAAGTTTAAAATGCACCTAACTTTCAGACGCCGATTCATGTAAAATTGATGGTCCTTCAAAAATTGTGGCTGACAAATACGACGTAACAGTGTGTGTGGCTTGAACACTACAGGTCAAATTCTTAAACTTTGGCTCTTTCATTATAAGATGCACTGCACTTTAACAAAATATCTGTATTAGACTACTTAAAATTTAGTAGATACTGCCAACTATTTGCAACAATTTAAGTATTATGTAAATAGATTATGGCCAATTGATTCACTCGACGGAAAGCGTTATACCATACAAACCTGGTAAATGTAAGTGCAAGTTCGTCCGATATGTCTCTTTTGATGCAACAAAGTCAATATAATTCGGACCAATTTTAATTAAGTTGCTTTTAATATACATTTCAGCCTTCAAAGTGTACGTTAGTCCACAGTGCCATACCAAACTTTCGTGCAAAAGGTGAATTTCAAATGACGTAAAAATAATGTTACGTTGATTAATTATGACAAGAACTAAACAGTGGTGATTTCTTTAAAAGGATGTGCATGTTAACTATTGAATGGAAAATATGTAACACACTCTTTAACAGAAAAGGCTTGCTTACTTTGTAGTAAAATCATAACCAAAATTCTTTAGCTCTCAAGTTGCATGATTTTACTGTCATTTTACCCCACACATCATCGTTAAATATTGACATCATTCTGTCTTTCAAACCGAAATTCCATGAACAATTATGTAACTTTTCTCAAATATTCTACTGACATACATGTCTTGAAATTTTCATATCTTCACTAATAACTAGTTACTTTGACTCTCAGCCGTTCAAAGTAAAACATAGATTTGCTGATTAGTTTTGATGAATCGAAACTCAGCTGTCTGTCAAACTTGGCTTCCACGTTTATTTAAAGCAGCTTTTCACCAGGCAACTGAAGGTAAGTCGTCAACAACCAAATGAAATAAACTGATTCCTTACGTTAATGAGCAGATATTCATGTTTAAATGTTAAATCTTCGGCAACCTAGGTAGTTCAATCATGCCTGATGGGCTTAGCGACTCGAAATACTATAGAAGCTTTCGAACCATTAAATTGATAGAAATTAAGAAACATACATCGTTGTCTACCGGTGCAATTTTATTGAAACTTGGTTACGATGCTGAATATGTGGCACAAACGTTAACTGAATGGTCTATCAAAGGCAACCTAATTGAATATTCATAACACATTCCGAGTTCAGGTTTCGAGCGTTGTATCGCATCTATCAAGTTACATTCACAATAATGAGCTCTGAAACATCAACTCAAGGTAAATAATATAGATTTCCGTATTAATTATTAGTTAGTACAGTACCGTTTTTGATACTTTTATAACTGAAAGTACGTGTCCATAATAACTGTTTTCATTGAAAATAAAATATGAGTGCATTTGCTGTACAACATGTTCAAAGTGACTAAAATTCAGCGAAGTGATTGTTTGACGAAAGCGAATAATCTCGGCACAAACGTTTGAGTGGTTATTATAGTGAAATCAAGGATGGTAAGAGTGTAAATATATATAAAGCAAGTTCAATGAGTTCAACAATACTTTTGGCAGTCACAATGCGAAATGCTTTGTCTTTGCCATGTTTTAACAGTGATAAATTTACTTGCAAGGTAGTTCATTGTTTTTATCATAATTTAAATTTTAGCAGTTTTATTCGTCCCCATTTAGAATACAGAAACATAACATTTTCTCTCTCACTTCAAAGGGATAAGGACACTCTGGAGCGTATCCAACGGCGAGTCAAGAAATCACTTCGAGGACTCAAATCCAAGCCTTATGAGGGGTTCTTACAATCACTAAACCTTTTCTCATTATATTATAGGCGTCTTATAAGTGATCTTCTAGTGGCTAACAGTATCCTTGAATTTTCTGGATATTCCCAAGCTGACAATTTTGGGGAAAACTCGGCACATTTTGGGGAAATTTTGAAGAAACGGCTATAGTTAATTTGGGGGAAATGAGACCCGAACCTCAAATTTTCCTCAAACGTTGGTGAAGGTCATTTGACTTCGGGAGTTTCTCCGAAATTTTCCTAAAATTGGAAGCTCAGGTTCCCTTCAACAACTACTTAGGTTTAGCCTCAACACAAACCTAAGGGGTAACACCCAGAAACAAGAGACACAACAACGCACGATGGACTATGAACACAACTTCCACTACTTAAGAGTTGTCAAATTCTGTAATTCGCTACCAGCTGAGCTATTAAGAGCGACTTCTCAGGAGTCCTTTAAGAGGAAACGTGATCTATTCTTAAAGACAAGAGAAGAAATCTTATTATCATCTACCAATTTTTTCTCTATAATAGTCAATATACCTAGGTTTCTCCTGAGGAAAGCTTCTTCTATTCCGTCCACAACAATTTGAAATGGTCAAGTGTGAAGAGCAATATCAAAAAAATTAGGACTATAATTTATTTCAAAACAGAAAAACATACTGAAGAGTTGAGGGACGGATTCTAGCAACAACATAGAGATTGCTCATCAACGTTTATGTCATTAAAAATATGTTCACAGCATCATGTAGCATAATCCAAATCTCGCAGCAAAAAGTGAAAAATATCATTCGCAGTAGTTAATACAAACAAAATCTGGCTAACTATATAAGATTATGTGTATTGTAAGATTATTGTTGATTGCAGGAATATTTCATCCTAATTCTCTCACACGGTATACGATTTCATGGCGATGGGCCGTGTTTTCCAATGAAATGAGAACTGAAAATGTGATGTGTATAATCCAGTTTTTACACAAACAAAGCAACTGTAAGACATGCTGAGAAGGCTGAAAAACAAAAATTCCGAGATAAAAGAAATTGATGATTGACATCATTATTGCGATGGCTTTCGAGAAGCATGATGGAGACCCAGGGGAACTAAAGGAGCCGAAGATTTTCTGTTCGATCAGATCCGTGGCATGCAACGAATGAACGTAGCATAACTTCACTCCTTATTAGTTGACTGAATCACAATGATATCACAGCCAGCGATAATGACTATGAATGCACATATTTTTCTGCACATTTTTTTATTCTTACACAATCATTTCTGATGTTGCAAAATTATACACTGCCGGGTGCCGTTAGTTGTACATCGTACTATGCGGTAATCCATTTTGTCTTATCCAATTTACTTCACTCTAAAAACCATATTATTAGAAACTACCACAGGTATTCGGAGTCTGACAACGTCTTTACACGTAAAACCAAATTAATCAAAGTATACCAATTTAGCCAAATCAGAAGTTGTAATTGGAGAGATTCGATGTGATTTTTTGGAAAGCTATCGATATCTTGGTCTAATCTAGCTAGTTGTTGCTATAAATGCAAGGCTCAGTGGATACAACAGTGATCCGGTCCTGGTGTGTGATGGAGCATTTCTAGCTTGCTTGTGTCCAGCAAAACTAATGAGGTCAGCATCAACGTCGACAACATGCAAAACTATTTACTGGATTCCATATGGTATGAATTAAAGAAAGGAGATTATAAAGTTTAACAAATAATAAATAAGCAAGCATATTATGTCTGCAACGGCTAGAATTACGCAAGTGCTTGCATGCTCTTCAAGCGCCACGATCTGAACTTTCATCTGTTTTAAACCGAATGTGCCATGAAAAAGTATAAGGTAATTTGATAATAAATGAAACAACCATCTCTCGAACTTAAGATGGCCTCCACGACATTCAGCAACTATTTGTAAATATCACTTTATTAAACAAGACGATCTTTATCTAACTCTCCAAATATATATGGTATTATGTACAAAGTATTGGCCATTCTATGCGCAATATTTAATAAATTCCTCGTAATTTCCTGAGCGTCAACCGCATGCAGCCTTGTTTGCATCATCTACCTCTATTGTCATTCCCTACAATACATTACTTTTATTATGTTTTATTTATTTTATGCCGTTATTGAGTGAGTTTCATAACTTGTATACCACGACAGTGGGGGCGGACTTCGTCTCCATATAACTCAAGTATACTCACCATCAACAGGGAATACCTGAGACTTCATTCCACCACAGTTCCATAATAGCCAAGATTTATTATGGTGGTATAAGTCATATAAGTTTTTCATGTACTTAATGTAGGTGAGGGAGGATATAGAGAAACTGACAGTTGGATTTCCTTGATAGCACTAAAAGTAGTGCAATAGCGAACCCTGACAGCATCACTTCGAACGTCAATAAACGCAAAGCTTCAAAACTACCGGTTTAGTATCTAATAGATTCTATTTGACTCCTCGGTACTTATTACTTCCTTGGCGTATGGTACAATGTTTTTACCAGATAATTTTTAACTGTACAGGGCGAACCGAACTGTTGAGGTGTTTTGAATCTTCTGTTTCATGGTTCTGTTTCATGCTGAACTAAACTGAGTGTGAATTTAAGGTTTTGCTGTCTTTTCATGCACATATAGGCGTGCAAACAGCTTTCGTCTAAAAATCGAAGGCACCTTACTTATTATTCTACGAGCTTCGGGAAAGAATTGCACCAACAGTGATATAATGTACAAGGTTATTAACAAATTCACAAGCTTTAAGTATATCTGCTCAATTTGATGACATGGGCTACAATATGATATATCTAAGGACATTTAATAATACAAATAGTCGATAATTAAAAACAAGCCTATTTTGAAAATGATTGTCTTTTGTATGGTGTAGGACGTAGTCAATACATTTTATGGTAGATTCGCTTTATTACTCTAGTGAAATTTTGACTGATTTTGAAAAGATTGTGTTCACTCTGTTATGAAGAGCTGAATGGTCAATATAAATGATTATCAGATCAAAAAACCTTCGGTTATTTAAACTGTCTTTGTGCATTTTTTTCGGTAGATCAGTGCTTCCGTAACATCTTGAGTTAAAGTGAAATATTATTTACTGCATTATAATCTTGTTTAAGTGAGTCATTTAAGGATACTTAAAGAGCAGCGGATCAAGAAATATGACCTTGTATGGTCGAGTTTTGAATGCCGACATAGACTTCAGTAATAGTCACGCTACTTCAGTGTCTGCATTTCTACTGTTTTACATGATTGACTATGCCCTTCAAACATGTCAATCGAGCAATAAAACTACGAGAAACACTTACTTGTTCATAAGACTAAGAAATTACTCCATCTCCATAATCCACGCTTTTATATCCGGACTAAGTTCGCTTATTTGGTGAGTTTAGGTTGACGAAATGTTTATTTCAGCCTTATTTCTTATCCTGACCTAGTCGGTAATGTCATAGATTCAGAGAACGTTTTCGCTTATCATATTATGGGTTTCGCGACAGGTATACTAGATTCATCATAATTCTATTTTACCAGGTTACTTTGTTCACGACATTTATCATAATATATGTGGCGGTGTTGGACTAAGATCGTTGGAGATAATATTGCATCACATTACAGTAGCCTTTTGCCCTTAAGTTTTCATCAGCTTTTTAACTTAGGTTTTAACCTGCTTTTACGTTGTATCTTGGTATAGGATTCTTGTTTGTTACGCATTGTTTGGGCTTTTGATGGAGCTAAACAGCATATTTCTTCACGCAAGAAAGTTAATGATATTACTTAACATCGACCCTGAATCAGTAACATACCGCCTTAATGCTATTGCAAATATCAGTAAGTCATTGCGTTTCCTTTCATAGTTTTCATTGTTTTTATTTGGTGGTTTAAAACGTGCATACATTTCATGTAAGTTATCTCAGTATGACCCTAGCCTTCCAAATATTAGGTTTTTTAGTGTAAAGGAAGTCTCGATGGGAAAAATTGTACTTATAAAAGGTGCTTTTAAAGAAACGATTAGTATACCTACTGTTTTTGGTGCATCTTAGTGACACTTATCAGTGGTCATCAGGATTGACAAATCGATTGTCAATATTTCTTGATCTTTGTATGGGTTTGTTTTCGGAATCATTTGTCATGATACTTAGTTTTACGTACATATAATTCGTAAAAACTTATACACGTGTAGGATTTTTGTAAAGCCTACAAATTACGATGTTTAACCAGTTAGTTAAACAGTCCATCTTTTCATTTCAATCATATTTGCATATCAAGCATCCATTTACTCTCTAAAATAGTTACTTCATGAATAAATGCCACTTTCTTTTTGTCGATCTGTCCTAAGAGGTTTAACTAAACTATTAATGCATAACCTTTGAAACCTAGTTGACTTATTTAAACGCATTGTTCCACCAATATTGTTGCTTTTTTCACAAAAGTATCCGTCATGATATATTACACTCCTGAGAATTCCGTTCAACTGTCAGAAAATTATGCGCTTATTTTAGTGAATAAATAGATTTGTATTTATTTTTGAAAACTTAGCAAATATAAATGTAAGAAAGCAGCGATCATGAGAATAATAGATAACTGGAATAAAATTAGTGATCCCTTTTAAAAAAATTTGATATATTTTGCAAACTTGACTTGTTCACTCGTTTATCATTTAGATTTTACACTTATGTAAAATGCATTAGCTAACCTATACAGTAAAACTGTTAGCAATTTCAGTTTGCAAAATTTACATTTTGTCACCTGATGTATTTGGAGCTCTATTGAAATAGCATATTACTAGCAAACAATCAATCGTAATAACTGCCTACCTGCTTATGAGCTTGATAGGAAACAATGAAGAGATCTAAAATTAACTTCTGTCATCCGTTTTGTTATTTTGTAGTTTTATTTTCCCGACTATCCCCTACTTTTAAATATCACTTGCAAATGTGATTATATATTTTACTTACAAAGGTGAAATGTAAGTTTTGCCAAATAATTGACATATTTTTGTCTCTTTTAACTGAAATTTGCTGAATACACTTTTGATGACTTACGTACTTATCAATATGATATGGATCAACTCAGAATGTGTATGACCATTCAGTGGATTTCGTGAAATTACTCCACTTGAAAAGTTATAACATGAAATAAATCAACTTGTTTATGTTTCAATAAGAATCCCCCTTTCTTTTTATTATTCCATTTCTAAATAGTTACATTTATCATCTTTCGTATATGTCTTACACTGTCGTTATTTGGATGGGGAATCATTAACAGGCACAAGTTACCAGTTGTTGTTAGTTGGATTCTACTTTCGAGTTTCACAGTATTTACAACAATGAATTTAGTTTTGTTCTACCGTGTTATCATAGCGGAACGTCGGATCTTACAATTGAATCATTATAAACTTTCTATTAATGGTGTGATGAAATAAATTTATTCTTCAGAATTCTTGCTAATGTCATTTCAGCATCGCCATGGTAATTGCTTTGCAGTTAACCAATTTTAAGGTACTTTCTCACGTTTGTGTACGTAAATGAGTACACCTTTTTTCAACTTAACTATAAAATTGTAAACACTGTACATCACTTAACTTTAAATTTGTTTCTTCACTGCTCTCTAATTATATTCATCTACATGCAAGTGATATGTAAATAAATGAATTTTCTTTTTCCTTCTTGAACTGTTATGTTTTTAGTTTCTTTTTTTTCTCTCTCTCTCTCTCTCTCTATATATATATATATATATTCATTTATTTTATTCTATACCCTTTACTTGTGCATTCTGGTACTTTCATTGCTACCAGCGGTGATAAAACTACACTGATAAATATTTGTCAACTTTAACTGATAGAACGTGATGTATTTATGAAGCTTGGTATTTGTGTACATTTTTTGAACAGAGAAGAAATAATGTAGTAAAAACGTCTATATGTGAACTGATATGGATTATATTTAACGGTTGATTTATACTTAATTCACTTTTAATCTTTACTGTATTTCTTATTACGTACAATAATAATTACTTATAATGAGCAATGAATTATTATAATAGTACCACTCTATTTAAAAGTAATTACTCTTGTTGAAGTATTATTACAATATATTTGTTTGAGAAGAGGTTTAATGCAACCAAATAATAAATATTGATAAAACAGATTGTTAAATATTTATTCGGACAAAGTTTATTAGACATGGTGTCATTCTTAGCACGACAGTGAAGTAGTTTGAAGATTTACCTTTCTTCCCGTAAGTTTTTTACATCTCTTCTTTTAAACTATTCATTTTATGTTTATTGATCCTTTATACACTACTGCCCTATATGAAGTGATGACTATCCAATGATTTCATATTTACTAATTTTGATATTTACATATTTTATTAACTAGAATTAAGCAGGTGTTTTTTCGTTAATTATTGTTAGGCAGGGGTTTGCTCAACAGAGAATATTTCAACGGAGAAGTTAGAAAAAGGTTATTTATTGTGATGAACTTTACAAAATTATCTGTACAACGATAGTTCAAGCTATAAGAGAGGCAAGCAGTTCAGCAAAATGGGTGTGGCATTGAAGATGAACATTTAGTTATTAACCAACCAAAAATTAATTACATCTAATGTAAATAAATCAAATAAAGGAAGACCAGTTGAAAACATCAGAAAATAATCTGTCACGAAACTAAAATTTTGCTCAAGACGCAGTTAAAGTTTTCAAGGCATATTCGATTAATTTTCTTTGTCTGACAAATATTAGTTTTTCCTTTGCACATTTTGCTGAAACTGATCAATATCAAGATGACAAAGACTTGTTTATTGAACGATTTGTCTTTGTCAATGACGACTGCGTTAATTATTTCATTTCAAAGCTTGTAAAACTGCGTTTTTAGCATGTAATGTTTTGAATTACAGTACGAACTCTGCTGTATGTGTATCAGAACTTATTTTTGACTAACCAGGAAACAAGATTTATGTTTCTCAGTAAGGTTTAATATGATGACTACCATCTGTTGGTTTTCGTTAGGCAGAATGTTTTCCTAGTTTCAGTACACCACTACGCTTCTTAAACTGTAATCAATATTATAACTTGGAAGTAATGACAACTGAAAATTAAGAATATTACGCTAGATACACGCATTTATTCGATAGCTTCAAGTAATCATTAAGAAAATGAATACGAGACGAATGTCGAAGAAAAATGTTGAAACGCTGATTTCCCAAAGCAAAGAAATTCAGTAGCGCTTTTCCATTTCTTTTACACTGGCTTTTAAAACCTAATGCAAAAAAATTTGAGCAAATTTGAAATGAATCGCCCAAAATATTTTTGATGTCTCTCATGAGTTAGTTGAAACCGGCCTGACTTTATAGGATATTACTAATTATTGTTGAGAATTATTTTGATCTTGGGTTTCAACAGCATATGAAACTGTTAATTCCTACAAACAAAAGATCTAAAAACTCGATAAAATAAGGGGTATCATTATTAGTTTATCTGCTGTTGGCTTGCTTTGAAGAATATATCGATATGCTACGAGTTTTGCATTTCTATACTCCTGTAGCTCTTCTAGGGTAATTGCCGGTCCGAAACCCGAGTGAAAGAGGAGGGTTGGGCGTGGGGTCTATAACGCAATCCCATAGAAAACAGTTTTGTTAAAAAACGTTAACCAGAACAAACAAATCAAACCATTTCAACTTTTCCCTCTGAATTCAGGGATCATTATTCAGAAGAATTACGACGCCTCATGGCAAAAGTCAATATTCTTCGGAATTCACGAGGCCGATGCTTTTCCTAACAGCCAGAGCAACAATAAATACAATACAATAATAGTATAATAATATAGACTCATGGCGTGTCTGCATAATGTGAAAGACCGGAAGGTTCAGTTAAATAGCAACGGAAATGAGGAGATACCACTTGGCATTGGTCGGGATAAGTGAAACTCATTGAACTCAAGCTGGACAAGAGAAATAGGTTAAGGAGAGATGCTGCTGATAAAGAAGAAAATTCTTTGCACACGTAGGGAGTTTCTCTGATGCTATCCAAGGAAGCGCTTATAGAATAGGAATCTCGTGGACCCAGAATCATCAAAAAGTCTTTCAAAACAAAGGAGGGAGTCACTGAATATTATTTGACATTATGCACCCACCAACAATAGCAATGACAACGATACAGATCAGTTCTGTGAGAGGCTTAAATTAATCAAAAGATCTGATCATCCTGATGAGAGATCTAAACGCTAAAGTCGGAATGGAGAACACTAAATATCAGGATGTCATGTGGCGACATGGACTAGGAAAATGGTGAGAGGTTGGCAAATCTATGTGCATTCAACAAGTTGGTTACAGGTGGCACAATATTCCTACACAGACGCATAAACAAAGCTATATAGGTATCACTGGACCACATTACAGCCAACCAGATCGACCATATTTACATCGATAAAAAAATTCAGACGGCCAATGGAGGATGTGAAAACCAACAGAGGAGCAGACATTACTTCAGATCATCACCTGGTGGTTGTCAAGATGAAATTGAGGCTAGAGAAACATTGGACAGCTTGGGAAACAGCAGTACAGAGGTTCAATACTGCCTTCCTATGAAATACTGACAAACTCAACGAATTCAGGAGAGTTTTCAGCAACATGTCCCAAGCCCTACAAGATCTACTAAAGAAGAAGAAACTACTATGGAGGACAACTTGAAACAAAACAAAGGAGCACTAACTTCAACGTATCAGGAGGTTCTAGGCCTCAAGAAGCATCATCAACATAAGGAATGGATCTCTATGGGAACCCTGGCTAAGATTGAAGAAAGGAATAACAAGAAGACAGCAATTAGCAACAGCCGAACAAGAACAGAGAAAGTGAAGGTACAGGCTAATTACACAGGAGCAAACACTCAAGTGAAGTAAAGCATTAGAGCCGACAGGTATAAATACGTGGGAGATCTAGAATCGACAGTGGGAAAAGCTGCAAGAGAACGAAATATGAAACAACTTCATGACACAACGAAGAAACCGTCAGGGAAATATGGTAAACCAGAGAAACCAATCAAGTGCAAACAAAACAAGCGAATCACTGAGACTCAAAAACAGGGACAGAGGGGTGAAACACATTGAGGAACTCTTAAATAGACTAGCTCCACTGTATCCATCGGACATCAAAGCAGTAATTAAAACCTTCCTATAGATGACACTCCACCAAAGATCGAAGAAATCAGGACGACCATCAGACAAATGAAATTGGGAAAGCAGCAAGACTTGACAATATGCCAGCTGAAAAATGGAAGTCAGATATAGTAGTAACTACAAGTATGCTTCAGAAAGATTTGAGTGGAAGGACAAGTGCCGATGGACTGGAAAGAAGAATACCTCATCGATGTGCCAAAGAAAGATCTGAGCAAATGTAAAAACTACAGAGGTATCACACTACTGTCGGTACCAGGAAGAGTTTTCAGTAGAGTATTCCTGAACCAGATGGAAGATATAGTAGATGCCCAACTTCGAGATCAACAGGCTGGATTCCGTAATGATCGGTCGGGCACGGACCAAATCGCGACACTACGGGTAATCGTTGAACAATCAGTTGTGTGTAACTCGTCACTATACATTACCTTCCTTAACTATGAGGTGCTTGACAGTGTGGTTAGGAGAGCATCATGGGAACTTCTTCGACACTATGGTGTACCTGAGATTGTTAAGTTCAAACGGAATTCATACTAAGGACTACAGTGCAAAGTCATGCATGGAGGACAGCTGGCAGATGCACTCCAATTAAGAACCGAAGTCAGACAAGGCTGCTTACTCTTCCTCTTTCTTCTGGTGGTCGGCTGGATTATGAAGACCTCAACAAATGAGGTAAAGCTCGGAATACAATGAACAGCTCAGAATCAATCAGACGATTTGGACTTAGCAGATGACCTGGCCCTTCTATCCCATACACATCAACAAATGCAGGTGAAGACAACCATTGTATCACCAGCCTCTGCATCAGTAGGTCTCAACATACACAGGTGAAAAAGCAAGATCTTCAATTACAACACGGAGAAAATCAACGTAATCACACTTGATGGAGAAACTGGAAGAGATGGAAAATTTCACGTACCTGAGTATCATCGTCTATGAACAAGGAGGATCCAATGCAGACCTAAAGGAGAGATTTAGCAAAGCAAGAACAGCATTCCTACAGTTGAAGAACATATGGAACTAAAAACAACTATAAACCAATATCAAAGTGATAATCGTCAATACGAAGATCAAGACAGTTCTACTGTACGAAGCTGAAACTTGAAGGACTACCATAACCATCATCAAAAATGTACAAGTATTTATGAACAATTGTTTGTGTAAGAAACTGGATGTCCGTTGTTCGGATACCATCAGCAACATCCTACTGTATGAGAGAACGAACCAGCTTCTAGATGCAGAGGAAATAAAGAAAAGATGTTAGAAGTGGACAGGAAATAAATTACGGAAATCATCAAACTGCACGTGGAATCCTGAAAGGAAACGGAAAAAAGGATGGCCAAGGACCACATTACGTCGTGAAATAAAAGCAGATATGAAAAGAATGTACAAAAAATCGAAAGAATTGGAAAGGATTTCCCGGAACATGGTTGGATGGAGAGTGCTGATGGGCGGCGCATGCTTCTCCACGAGGAACAACAGGCGCAAGGAAGTATGTAATCCTAACAATTATTCCTTTCCGACCTCGATCTTTCTAAGAGAAATCATTTGTAACTTATCATAAACTAATTCTAAAGCAATTAATAATTATTGGAATAATCTTTAGCATCCTAAAACGATTGATTGTAGTATAGTTTCAAACTATATTACAATGAAGTGAAAAAAGTTATTTTATACTCACCGCTCATTTTATACTTAATAACTTGTTAAAGTCTCTTTTAAGTTAATTAAAATATTCATTTAATATTTTATTAATACTAATTTAAGTATCAAATTATCAAATGAATCAATGTTTTGTTATGATAATTAATTAAAAGAATCTATTCGGAAAATTTTCATGTCTACATTTCTATTGTTAGAAGTTAAATGTAAATTTAATATTTTCAAGTGGCTTTCAGTAATGTCAGTCATTATTATTATTATTATTATTATTATTATTATTGATAACAATATGTAAAGCATTTTCAATTGTAAACAGTTAATAAGTATAGTCTAATAGCATACTGATGTTACCCTTTTTTCATCTTTTTTATAATGAATAAAACGAAAATCGTTTTACAAAAAACGTAGATTCAGGTAAATTTTGCATTACCTACTGTTGTATATTTTTTTTTGTTAAAGATATAAATTACAATTTCAATTAAATGACTAGTCATAATATCATAAATCATGTTATTTATAATAAAGTATTCAATTTACTAAAAAATATTTAGCTTAAAGTAAGTCATAAAGAAAATAAACTGAATCTTGTAAGTATAACTTTTTGTCTAAACAATCAGTAATTGTGGAATTCAATTAAGTTGCACAAGTGTTCTTGATGAAGTTTGTACTGATGATGTCGTTCAGAAGAACGATGAAAGCTTTAGGACCAAACCATCCAGCTCAGAGAACGAAACTCCATCAAAATCATTCACCTGAGCTACAAATCACCAACACAAGTGTTCTTATATTTGTGAATACTATACGTCTCTGGTCTTAAGAACTGCTATAATCATAAACTAATTTGTTCAAGGTCAGTTAGTTAAACGATGGTTTAATTAACACG